AAGCTGCTGCGTTCAGGGTGCTCCGGGTTTCGTCTCAGGTGCACCTCGCGCGCGGGTATTCAGGGTTGAGTGTCTTGCGAGGGTTTCTTGCGGCCGCGCCCGCACTGTACGTATATGCTCGGCCCCTCCAGAGCGCGATAGGCTGAGCGGCGTGGCCAGTATCGTGCCGACGCACCCTGACCTCACCATCACCCACCGATATCGCGGTTCATGGCCGCACCCTGCTCACGGAGAGCGTCCACAGTCCCTCGAACTTCGTACTCCACCACTGGAGCGTTCACAGCCACGACACCTCCAATGACGAGTTCGGGCCGCTCGCTCGAAGGTTCTGGGCCCAGGCGCGAGCGTCGCAAGGCAATACGTCCAACTCGGTGGCTTTCTTGGTTGGTGACTTCAATTTCGCCGACTCGAGCGGCGAGCTGGCTCCAAGTAGCACTCCTGACGGTTCTGGGGCTGATGCGGTTCCTCGGCAGGATCGTGCGGGGGACCGCCGATAGAGACAACTTTGGACGAAGCTGGTCGACTTCGACGCCGAACGTCCGACGCATTGGCACCATCCTACGCAGCAAGCCACTCAGATCGACAGGGCGTTTAATTCGGCGCCGACATGGTTAATCATGAGGTTCTGGCAGTCCGTGACCGTTGCAGACGAGCCGCAGGAATTTCACCGAGACTCGATCAGAGACCTCGCGCCGATCAATTTCAGTGGGCTCCGAGGCCGCCTGGTGACCAAGATCGTGTCAGGCCGCTTCCCAGGCACATCGTGCACTCGCCACTTGCAGTTTCGAGCGCGATCGCTTTAAATCCCTTCTTCTGGGATGTGGAGCTGAAGGTTGTGCGCCATCACCTGGTGTTTCCGAGTGTGTATGCCGATGATGTCTGGGCCGTGCTTTTCCACTTTGTCGGTTTAGTTCAGATGGCTCGTGTGTTTCAGTTCGCGAGCGTCTTCGCCCGCATGACTTTGAGCTATTGCAAATGCCAGGTCGTCCCTTTGATAGGGGAGCTCTGCGACTCGTTGGCTGTGATCGCTCGGGAGTTCCTTTCCCGGTTCGATTCTGGTTGGGCGGAGTTCCAGATCCAGGGGAGTCTACCCTATCTCGGAGTGGAGCTTGGCCCGTCTGCGTCGGTGGAGCTCCAATTGGATGCCCTCTGGTGTAAGCTACGCGCACGCGTCCTCACCGGCAGTCGCTCCACCGCAGATGGCGCCACGAATCTGTTTTCCTACCACACAAGGTGCCTCCCAACGCTTTCGTGCAACTTTGTTCTTATTTAATATGTGCAGGGTTTTTTGTTTTTGCTGCACCGTTTCAAGCTCGGCGTTTTGGACATCATGCTTCAGCGTTTTAGGACCCAACAGGAAAGCTAAAAACGGTGAAGCAACTTGCTCTTTGTGTCTTTTTAGCTACGTTGTTCTGGCGTTTTCACATCAGTTGGTTGCGTTGTTCAACAGTGCCGTCTACGACGTCCTAAGTTCCTTCTCCTGCCGTGCAGTCCCTCTCCTGGCGTGCAGTCTTGGCGGGCCCGGTAACCGATTACCCCTCCCGGGGCCATCGGACCTCCAGGCCTGTTTCGGGCCGGTGTCAGACCAGTGTCAGAGCGTCGGTTTTGCGCTTGTAGCTCTGAGAGGGAGAACGGCGGCTAGAAAGAAAGAGCGGGAGCGAAGACAGCAGGGAGGACAAGGAACAGCCTCCGACCAGACAGCAAAAAGCCTTTAAGAATGATGATCCATAGCGACGGGCCTAAACACACAAAGAAACGGAGCTGAAAACGCTAAAACACAGTCGCGTTTTTGGTTTGGAGCTTGTCAAGAGCTCAAAAAATGCAAAACGGTTAAACAAAAACAAAAAACACGGCGCTGCCATGAAGAACCAAGTCGTACAAGCCCCAGCGTTTCCCGATGGACCGTTCATGAGCGTCGCATGTTCAACTTCCCTCTGGAGCTCCGCAAGCTCGACTTTGTCTTGGGAGGAGGGGTGGTTTGGACTTGGAGAGTTCGGCGGCCCAGCTTTCCAATCTATGTGGGCATACGGCGCTGCCTCCAGGATGCGCGCCACCCTTGTGTCGTTCCAGTCGCGGCCCGCGGAGCTTCGACGACTGCGCCGCGTCGTCTGGGGCAATTTGGAGCCCCCGCGTGGCTCTACACTTCTTCTCTCGCTCCTCCTTTCTGGCCCTCGCCTTCTATCACCCTCCTCCTTGAATCTGCCGCCCATGGTGTTCTGTCGGCGACCAGCCTCTCAGAACCAGGTCGTCAGTGCCTTTCTCTGTTCCAGGCGGGTCCGGCCAACACCGGCACCGGACATTCTATTGCGAGTGGATCCCGTGGGCAATCACAGTTTCAGGCGATATTCCAGCAGGCTCTTCTTCGCCGCGTGATCGGGGCCACGCTGGATCGCAGGATCACCACATGGTTTCTCCCGAGGGGCAGAGTGGGGCTGGTGGATTCGGGGGAGATGAGAACAGCCGTGCAGCAGCTTCCGTTCGAGTGGCGTTCCGCCATTTTGAATCTTGGCTCGGCGCGTGGACCACTTCCCATCGCGTGAGGCGGACCCACTCGGGCTGCATTTTCGGCTTCGGTTCGACTAATGATTCAATCTCGCACAGCGTCCCGGAGTGCCCGAGGCTTTCGACCCTTGTTTCGGTTGTTCCATCTAGCGAGGTCCCCCGGGATCCCAGGGTCAAGATTGGACTGTTTCGTGATGCTGGCTGGGATGAGTTCAATTGTGCTTTCATCGTATGTTACTTGTATGGCTTACGGCTATTTTCCGCCCGTCGCTGCACCGAGCTGGCTGCTCAGGACGTGCCGCTGCACGCTGAAGCTGTCAGGGTAGCGATTCGCCTTCCGCTGCTGGGGCCCCATGTGCGATTTCTGGCTCAACGGTAAGCTCAGAGGCGCATCGTGGGAAAACTTGTTGTGCGTCCAGGCCACGCTCCACCTCCTGCCCTTCCTCCTCCTCCTCCTCCTCCTCCTCCTCCTCCTCCTCTTCCTCCTCCTCCTCCTCCTCCTCCTCCTCCTCCTTCTTCTTCTTCCTCCTCCTCCCTACCTCCTCCTCCTGCTCCTCCTCTCTCCTTCCTCCTCCTCCTACTCCTACTCCTCCTCCTCCTCCTCTCCTCCTCCTCCTCCTCCTCCTCCTCCTCCTCCTCCTCCTCCTCCTCCCCCGCGCGGCCTTCGCCTCGTCCATTTCGATTCCTACGACCTTTGGCATTTCCGCGCCGTGCGATCGAAGGCCCCCGCCAATACTCAGAGCACGGCGCGGGCGACGCAGTCGAAGTCGCTTTCTGAGGCGAGCCCAGCGCCGCCCTCACTTGGGGCATCGGGTTGCTCGGCCGCGCGTTTATCCGCTGACGCATTCGGTGTACCCTTCTTGCGGGAGGCATGCGATCGGGGTACTCTTGTTGCTGGAGGCATGCGAGCGCAGTGCCGTGCAACGAGGTGCCGTAGAACGCAAAGCATAGGGCAGCATAGCAATGCATATAATAGCACCACCTTGCACATCATAGCAAGCAGCACTGCTTTGCACTGCGTCGCGCATTATTGCATAGCATGGCATAGCACAGTGTAGTCCCGCATGGCTCAGCATAGCACGCATTAGCATAGCACATTGCAGCATTGAGTAACATCGTACAGCTTAGCGCAGCATGGTATAGCACGTAACGGCACTGCATAGCCTACCTCTGCGTGGCCTAGCTTAACAACATGTAGCACTGCACAGCATGGACAGCACAGCGCAAGCAGAATCTGCGCGAGGACCTGCGCTGGGGCCACGAAGAGTTGGATTGACACTTGCAACCAGACGGCGCGTTTCTATTCACGGAGCAGGCGAGAGCTCCTCTAGGCAAGCCTGCTGGAGGGAAGGGGGAGACTGGTCGGCCATGTCCAGCAGGTCCGTTGGCGTTCCTCGCGCTTGAAATCAGAGTTTTTCCGCGGCCGACGGAAACTGACGAGGAATCGGCTTGGTCTCCTGATTCCCGCGGATCTTGCAGTGGTTTACCAACGCTTGATCGGAAGCTATCCCTCGAACGGATTCGAGAGAGATCTGGAGCAGCTGAGTTTGCATCTGCCCAGCCCTCTGAGGGTGCTCAGGAAGAGTCTCGTCACTTCGACGGCAGGTTGCCTCGGGCCTCTTGTGATTGACGAGCGTCGAGCTGCTGTCTCCCAGGAGCCCCAGAGGCCCTGTCATAGCTTCCGCTACGCCACACTTCCGCGGGGGTAAGAAAAAGGCATAACACGTAAAAGGAAGAGGAAAACGAACGCCTGATCCGTGTTTGATCAAAAGGTCGCAGGCCTTCGACCTCAGATTGAACACGAAGGCGTTGGATGGAGACACAGGGCCGGGTATCGTGTAGGGCGAAAGGGAAGACGCGTACGCCTTCGACCTCAGACTGAATGCGGGGGCGTCGGAGGAGGACGCAGGACCGAGACGTCCCCTGCCGCTCCGCCGCCCAGCGGCCGAGCGGCGGCGGGCCATCCCCAGAGAGGCAGCCGCGGGACCTCGACGCGACGCCTCGAAGCGCGGGCCCCGCCGCCCCGGCAGCACCGCGCTCCCGCGACCCGGGCGGCGCCGCGAGAGCCGGGTCGGCAGAGGGCGCCTCGAGGCGGAGCTTCGATGTTTGCCGCGGGCCCGTTCGGGGCACCCAAAAGCTGTCCGGGGCAGCTCGGGCCCGGGGGCAGCTCGGGTCTGGATGCCCGGAAAGCGAGCCCGAGCTTGCCCTGGCCCGAACTACCCCTGCTGATTCGGGGCTCTGCAGTGGGCGCCCGAACTCTCCGAGGCAGCTCGGGCCTGGGGCAACTCCGGCTCGGGTTCCCGAAAAAACAACCCGAGTCAGCCCTGACCCGAGTTACCCCTGAGGACTCGGGGCTCTAACCGTTGGTGCTTGTCCTTGCGCATGGCTCCTGGCTGTTTTCGGCCGCCGGGGGACCTTCGCGCCGGCACGGTCGGACTCGGCATGCGCATGCAAGACTGCTCGGGATGCTGTCCAGAAGAGGGCGTGGGGACCGACTCGTGGGGACTGCGCACGGACAGGAGGGCGCGTGCGGGCAGGTGGAGGTGCGTAGCTTTTTGGCTCAAGCCACTCGTTCAAGCCGCTCTCTCTCGGCTTCATCTTGCGCGGCCTCTTCCCCGTTTCCCCGCGCCGAGACTACGCATCGGGCAACTGTTCCAACGGGAAGCGGATGAGCACAGAATCCAGATCTGGAAAGATGTTCACCCGTTTCGCGTCACCACGGTCGATCCAGCACCAGAGCGTGTTCCGACACGATTGCCTTAGGCACTGCGCGCTGTTTAAAGAGCGAGACCCACGGTTTCTGCAGAGCTTGTTGGAGGAGCTCTCCGTTGAGATCTTCCATCCCGGGGAGGTAATCATGAGGGAGGGCGATGCGGGGGACACGTTCTATGTGTTGAACGTCGGCAAGGTCGAGGTGCTAAACGGCCAGAACGTCGTAGCGGTATTGGAGGGCGGCAACAGTTTCGGGGAGATGACCCTGCTCGGCGTAAGCAACGTGAGGACGTGCACGATCCGAGCCTTGGAGTTCTGTGACTGCCGCGTGATCAGCAACAGATCGTTCCAGCGAGTATTGCAGATGTTTTCTGACGAGAAGGTGTTCTTCGACGGACTGGCCATGGAGAGGAAGGTGGATCTGCACAGGAAGCTGAGCGTGACCAGCGACCCGTCCCCGTTCCGCAGGAGGAGGACCTCCGCGCACTCGCCCGCGACGGCCTCGAAGAGGTCCCTCCAGCTGGCGCCCCCCCTCGAGAGGAGATCGGGGGCAACGATAGGGGGGGGGGATAGGCAGTAGGGTTAAGTCGGGCGTGTCCCTCTACGGGGGGAACATTCAAAGATTGTATAAAAATGGTATGGTGACGATGTTTCTACTGTGTTTGAATGTGTTTGGCTATGTTTTGGATACGCTTCATTGATTTATCTCCCAACCGCTTGTAGGAGGACATGCCCGACCTAACCATAGGGGGGGACACATCGACCCGTAATCGGCCATTGATCGCCGATAGGGGCTGGATAGCCCCAGCCTGCCCAGTAACGTGCGGCTTCGCTCTCGGGGTCCCCTCGCTGATCTATCGGCGATGCATCGCCGATCTTCCTGTGCCTACCCCCCCCTGGAAGAGGAGCAGGGAGGAGGAGGAGGAGGAGGACGAGGAGGAGGAGGAGGAGGAGGAGGAGGATAGGAGGAGGAGAGGAGGGATAGGAGGAGGAGGAGGAGGAGGAGGAGGAGGAGGAGGAGGAGGAGGAGGAGGAGGGAGGAGGAGGAGGAGGAGGGGTAGGAGGAGGAGGAGGAGGAGGAGGAGGAGGAGGAGGAGACGGAGGGGGAGGAGGAGGAGCAGGAGGAGGAAGAGGTGGAGGAGGAGGAGGAGGAGAAGGAGGAGGAGGAGGAGGAGGAAGAGGCGGAGGAGGAGGAGGATGAGGAGGAGGAGGAGGAGGAGGATGAGGAGGAAGAGGAGGAGGAGGAGGACGGACCAAGCCGAAGCGGGCGGCTCCCTGTGCCTATCCCCCCCTATCGCTGCCCCTCAGGCGAGGGGAGGGCCCCGCGCGGCGAGCGCTTAGCGGGGCAATCCCCCGCCCGAGGAGGGGCGTGCCCCGGGGCGCCGCCTTCGGCGGCAGCAGCCGCCGGGAAAACCCGCGCCGCTCCGCGGGGGCTGCGGGCGGTGGCGGCGGCGGCGAGCTCCGCCCCCGGCAGCCCGCCGCGCCCCAGCGGCCCCTGACCTCTCCATGGGCCTCCCTGCTGGGGCCCGAGCATATGTACAGTCAACCCGCGCAGCAAGGATGGGCAACCTTCCAAAGGGCACCCTTTTGCATCCTTGCCTCCTCGGTCCATCCTTGGCCACCTTCGCTGGCCGCGCCTCGCTCGAATTGCTTCGACGCGGGCGTCCAAGGCCCTTGTATCCTTATCGCGCATCCTTAATATACGGGCTGACTGTAAGTCGGGCCTGTCCCTCTACAGACGGGATGAATATCCAAGACTAACCGCAACAAAAACATATAACATGGTGGCGATGTTTGCCGTGCTCTTTTCTGATTGTGTTTGATTATGGTTCGACTTGTTCAAGAATAGTTGTCAGATAGTCTGGTGACGATTTATCGTATTCTCTTTGACTATGTGTGATGATTGTGCGATGCGTCGGCGATGCGTCGGCGCTGCGGCGCGATCCTCCGACCCCGTCTACGCTTAAGTCGGGCACGTCCCTCTACAGGAGGAATATTCCCAAACAGTCAAACAATAGTCGGGGAACGATTTGTTTTGTATTCTTGAGTATTGAAAAAATGTGCGCGGTATGTTTAATTTTTCGCCCAAAATCCCCCCGTAGGGGGGCATGCCCGCCCTAAATCTATGCTCGGACCCCAGCTGGGAGGCCTCGGCCTCTGGGTGCTGGCACGCCCCCTCCGCCGCGGGGAGGGGCTGCGAGAAGGACCTCCATGGGCGGTCGTGAAAAGGGGCGCGGGGGGAGTGGGCCTTGAGACACAGTCAACGCGCAGAGTAAGGATGGGCGGCCTTCCCAAGGGTACCCTTTCGCATCCTTGCCCTGTCTCTCTTCTCCATCTCCTCCTCCACCTCCTCGTCCTCCTCCTCCTCCTGCTCCTCGTCCTCGTCCTCCTCCTCCTCCTCCACCTCCTCCTCCCCTTCCCCCTCCACCACCTCCTTCTCCTCCTCCTCCTCCTCCTCCTCCTCCTCCTCCTCCTCCTCTACCTCCTCCGGCACGTACAGTCAATCCGCATAGTAAGTATGGGCAGCCTTCCCAAGGGTACCCTTGCATCCTTGCCCCTTCGGCCCATGCTTGGCGACTCTCGCTGGCCAGCCTGGTTCGAAAAACGCCAACGAGGGCCTCCAAGGCCCTTGCATCCTTGCCGCGCATCCTTATGGTACGGGTCGACTGTACCGACAGCGTGTCTTGCGCCCTTCGAGCACAGGGCCCGCTGCCAGTGTCGACGCACGGGCGTGGCTCCTTTGGAGCAGAAGACCGCCTGCCCAACAGTGGCCGCCGTCGGCTTCGGACATCATCTGTGCTGTCGGGTATCGTATCTACTTCTTCCGTATCCATTGCGGGCGTCCAAAGGACCCGTGGTTCGAAGAGAGGGTCCTTGAGGGGTGCGGCCCTCTGGGCAGTAGGCCCAGACCTTTTCTAGCGTGTTGAAGGAATCAAGACGGTTTTAGTTCGTCGTCGGCGGCGTCCACAGGAGCCCTTGCCAGGCCCCAGGAGGACCCCGCCAGGAGAAAAGAACAAGGTATCGGAGGTCTGGGATGGGCTTCAGTATTCAGTTCGCACTTCTCGTGGCCTCGTCGCCCTAGGAGGCCCATTAAACTTCCGGTGGGGCTAGGACCAGGATAAGTCGTTCCAGAGCGTTCCGAAACGATCTCAGAGCGTTCCAGAGCGCTCTGGAACGGCCGCGGCGCCCGATTCATCCTCCAGAACCGCCGGATCTCAGGGATCCCCGGTTTGTCATGGTCTTGGCTTCGTTTTCAAAGGTTACAACATAGTAAATCGCGGCAGTTTCCGTTCGTCTTGGATTGAATGTGTATCAGCGAATAGCGCCTAGTAATGCCGAATGGCGCTCAAATAGCGCCCGATAGCGACCAATAGCGTCACGTTCGGGAGATGAGTTCTGGCCGCTTTACGCGCGAGATTGGGCGCGCTGCTGGGCGACGTGTGGGGACGACCAAAAGTTTCCGTGAGCTGATTCCCGAGACCTGTGGACGACGATCAACGGAGAGGAAGCATGTTGCCAAATAATTTCCTGATGTCCAAAACATGTTCAAAACATGTCTTAAGCATGTAAAAGATATGAGTTGAACATGTTAAGAACATTTTTCAAACATGTCAAGCACATCTTTAATTCAATGCTCGGACTGTTAGGGTGTCCACTGTCATGGCATCCACAACGAGACCCGAGAGAGGAACGCACCCCCTGAGATCCTTCAGCTCGGCGACTCTGGCCCCCGAGCGTCTCCGTGGCGACTGGGGAGGCGAGAAGGACTGGGCTGCGTGGGCCCCGGAGGTCTGGACCACTCGCCTACAGGGTTCTAAGGCGGGCACGTCCCTCAAAATTATCCCAGTGCGACCCTACCTAGGAGTTGGAGCATTTTGGAAAGCAACGTCTACATCTACACCGACAGCTACATTTACATCTACACCTGCATCTACATCTACATCAACATGAACAGCGAGATTCACAGCTACATCTACATCTATGCTATGCTTTGCTATGCTTTGCTATGCTTTGCTATGCTTTGCTATGCTTTGCTATGCTTTGCTATGCTTTGCTATGCTGGGCTATGCTGCGCTATGCTATGCTATGCTATGCTAGGGTGCGCTCGGCTGTGCTGTGTTATGCTAGGCTATGCTATGCTGTGCTGCGCTATGCTATGCGATGCTATGATGTGCTATGCTGCGCTATGCTATGCTATGGTATACTATGATATGCTGCGCTAGGCTAGGCTATGCAATGCTATGCTGCGCGATGCTATGCTGTGCTGTGCTGTGATGTGCTATGCTGCGCTGTGCTATGTTATGCAATGCTATGTTATGGTATGCTATGCTGCGCTATGATATGCTATGCTGAGCTATGCTATGCTATGTTATGCTATGTTATGCTTGGCTATGCTTGGCTATGCTTGGCTATGCTATGCTATGCTATGCTATGCGGTGCTAATGCTGCGCTAAGCTAAGGTAAGCTAAGCTAAGCTATGCTAAGCCAAGCTAAGCTAGGCTAAGTTAAGCCAAGCTGAGCTAAGCTAAGCCAAGTTAAGCTAAGCTAAGTTAAGCTAAAATGAGAGAAGTTAAGCTAAGCGAAGCTAAGCTAAACTGAACCCAGGGGGCGCAACTGGGGGAACCGCGGGGCGGATACTGGGGGAACCGCCCGGGGCGCTTTCCACTGCCCGGCCCCTTTAAGCCCAGAGAGTAAGAACCCTTCTAGGCAGAGCCTAGGTAGGGAAATAGTCGAAACCAAAAAAAACAGTTTGGAGACGTTTTTTGACGAAAAAGCGAATTTGTTGATTATTGTTGAGCATGTTTGGATATTTTTGAGGTCTGGACCAATTTCCTACAACTCTCCGCGGAACCTAACGCAAGTTTTCCCGCCCACCCCCCGCGCCCCCATTTTCCATGTTCGGTTGCGCGCGCGGCGCGGTCCGCGGACGCCGACGGAAAAGATCGATCCGCGTGCTTCGGCAGCAACGTTGAAATTTGGGGGTTTGGGGGTGCCGACGCGGCGCGCGAAAAACTTACGTTAAGTTTCGCGGAGGGATGTAGGGCCCGTTTTTCGTCCTGAGCCGTTCGTGGACAGCCTCGAGGTCCAGGGAGGCCCCCCAGAGGCCGAAAAAACTGCCCCAAACCCGACGCTCCAACCCTGAGATGCGACTTCTCAACACAAAATTGAGACGCCATGCAAAATCGAACCTGGAGCCCTAGACCTTCTCTTTCTGCGCCCTTTTTCGAGCCGGATCGATCTGTGAGGCTCCCGGGGCCCGAAAATATGCGAAAGCGCCCGGCTCGAAAAAATAGAGTCGCCAGGGCCTCAGGGAATGCCGCTGCGTCGCCGCTGCATCGCCGCTGCATCGCCGATGCATCGGCGATGCGGCGCGAACATCCGACCCCACCTAGTCTACTCGGACCCCATCTGGGAGGCCTCCGATGTCATGGCGCCATCATCGCAGAGCGGATTTCGTTCAGAAAACGATAGGATGGGCCCGGCTTGTCCTGGAGAATTTCGTTCCAGATTTCGAGGTGAATTTCGTGCGGATTTTTTGTTGGCAAGGAAGGAAAACTACAAAAAAATCCACTCGAAATCCATTCCGTTTTCACTCGCTGTTTCGGGGTTTTGCAGTGGCGGAAGCTCGCGCAAGAAAAATCCGCTGCAGCACGTCTGCAGGGTCGGTGCCGTGACCAATCTCTGGGGACGGCCACAGCTTCCCTGAGCTGCTTCCCCGAGAGAGGACGGCCTCACGTCCACGTGGCCGCCGGCGGGCCCGGCGGGCGGCCGCAGGTCTCGGGCGAGAAGAGAGAGAGAGAGAGAGAGAGAGAGAGAGAGAGAGAGAGCTGTGCACGCATATGCACCGCTCCTGCCCGGGCCCGCCCTGGGCTTGGGCTCGGTGCACGTGCCTCAGGGGCAGCGATAGGGGGGGGGGACCCTCCCCTCCTCCTCCTCCTCCCTCCTCCTCCTCCTCCTCCCCTCCTCCTCCTCCTTCTCCTCATCCTCCTCCTCCTCCTCCTCCTCCTCCTCCCCCTCCTCCTCCTCCTCCTCCTCCTCCTCCTCCTCCTCCTCCTCCTCCTCCTCCCTCCCCCTCCCCCTCCCCCTCCCCCTCCCCCTCCTCCTCCTCCTCCGATTCGTGCAGCACGGCGTCGGGATCTTCCTCTACTGCCTCGGCGCCTTCTCTGGGTATCATGCCCGAGGGATGGCTTCCTCGTGGAGGCGCGCCGCCGTCGCGGGTTTGCCTTCGCGAACCGCTCCGCGCAGATCGGCTTCCTGTACCTCCGGTTTTCCGTCCTTTCCGTGGTGAAGGCGGTGGCGATGTTGCTGGTCGTTTTCCCGCCGCCATGGAGGCGGACAGCTGCGCTGGAGATGCTGCAGGCGGAGCTATTTTTCTCGTTGGAATTGATCCTCTTGTGCGTCGTGGCCTCCCTGCGGAAGCGGGCCAGCCTCTTCGGCATGGGTTCACAGGTGCTCCCGCTGGTGGCGGTCCCCTCCGAGGCGGCTCCTTGGTGCGTTTTCATAGTGACCCACGGCTGGTACCTCAAGAGGAATATTGGGAGTGCGTGTTGATGCCTGCCACGGACACGGTTGGCCTCCCATGGTCGTGCCCAGGTGTCCACGCCCTCGAGTACGTCAAGCTCATCGGCGACCAGCGGCTCACTTGCCTTTCCTGCGACCTGCTCATGGATGGCATGGACGAATACCCAGAGTCGCTCTTCGTGTGCTCGGAGTGCGGCTTGGTGTTCTGCGATACGTGCGCGCCTGAGGGCTGGCGAAGTTGGGCATTGGCCATATGACGCTCGATTTCACGGACCCGTATGTGCTCCTGTTCGTTGTGGTCTTCTTCGGTTTCGTGCTTGTGGAGATCTTCACGGCAGGTGCACTCACGCTACGGGTGGCCTCACCCCACCACCCGTGAGTATGCTGGGGTAGCATTGCGTTGATGTAAAAAAAATCCTCCTCCTCCTCCTCCTCCTTCTCCTCCTCCTCCTCCTCCTCCTCCTCCTCCTCCTCCTCCTCCTCCTCCTCCTCGGGGTAGGCATAGGGGGGACGCATCCCTCATTGATCGCCGATATGGGGCCCGATAGTCCCTGCCTGCCCAGGAAGGTGCGGATGAACTCGGGCTTGGTGCACATGCCTCAGGGGCAACAATTGGGTTAAGTCGGGCACGTCCCTCTACAGGAGGAATATTCAGAAATAGCAGAAAAATGGCATGGGGACGATTTGTTGATTATTTTTTGGGGAGGTATTTTTTTGTTGTGTGTTTGCATATTTTTGATTTTCGATGATTTTCGTCCCGAAATCTGCCTATAGGGGGACATGCCCGACTTAACGATAGGGGGGGACAGGCATAGGGGGTGATGTATCGACCCCCGATCGCCCATTGATCGCCGATGCGGGGCCCGATGGCCCATGCCTGCCCAGGAAGGTGCGGATTTTCATTATCGGGGGCCCCATCGCCGATCTATCGGCGATGCATCGCCGATTCCAGGTCGATGCATTCCCCCTATGCCAGTCCCCCCCTATCGTTGCCCCACAATGCCCCCCTGGCAGGGCTCGTTTCGATTCCTCCGGTTCGACTCGGCTTCGACCTCGACGGCTTCCGATTCTCCGCTTCGAGATTCGACTTGGGGTTCCGATTTGGGCTCGGGCTCCTCCTTGGAGGCAGACCAGCCTGCCGATTTCCGCCGATTCGACTCTTCCCGACTCGGGTGCCGCTCTCCGCCGATCCGGTTCCTTTCGGTCGCCGATCCGACCTGTCGACTCGATTCTTGGCTCTCCTGCCCTGGACAGGCCAGGACCCAGACATCCGTCCGCACCAATTGCTCGATACGTGGGGCCCAGGAGGCCTGGACCACTTCCCCGCATCGGGCGATCGCAAACATGGATCAAAAGGGGGCGTGGACCAGCGACGGGCCCCGCTTCCATGGGACATCGCGGATCTCCGCCGCCGAGCGCAGCGACACCAGCCGCATCTTGGGGAGGGCACCTCCCCCGATCAATGGATTTGGCGACCGCGCGCCAAATCCGTGGATCGCTAATCCATGTTTGCGCGCCCCCTAGAGATGTGAGGCGATCACGACCAGGCATGGCAGGCATGGTGCAGCTGTGTGGACGCCGCGCTGCCGCGACGCTGCAGCCACGCGGCGTCTCCAGGAGGTTACAATACTTGCAGCACCCATGATTCGCCTCGGTTTTTTTTTGTTTGTCCTGCGGGGTCCACACAGCAGCCTCTCCTCCTTCTCCTCCTCCTCCGCGCATGCGAAACGGAGGAGAACGTTTTCGTGCTGAACCGTTTTCTGACGGTCCCGAGGCCCGGCGACGGCCCCTGGAGGCCGAGAACGGACCAGAAACCGCCGCTCCTCTTTTCGTTGGAGCGTCGGACCCTGAGGTCTGAAGCTGCAAACACAAATGCAACATCGCAAAAAACCGCGCCCAGACCTCCGAACGAGCGCGTTCTGTGGTCGCTTGGAGGAGGGGGAGGGGGTCGGAACCGGACCCCCCCCCTCCTGGATGGAAAGGGGGGGGGGTTCGAACTACCCCCCCCTCCCGGGACGGAGGGGGGGGGCGGGGGCAGACTTCTGGACCCCATCGTCCCGCGTCATTTTTCGATCCGGATCGATCGACCCGTGAGGGCCCAGCGGCCCGAAATCGGGCGCGAACGCCCGTTGTGAACGCATTGCGACGCCAGGATCTCAGGGGATCCTGGGCTCAGGACGGGCCTGGCCCGGAGGAGGAGGAGGAGGAGGAGGAGGAGGAGGAGGAGGAGGAGGAGGAGGAGGAAGAGGAGGAAGGAGTAGGAGGAGGAGGAGGGCGGAGGTGGGAGGAGGAGGAGGAGAAGAGGAGGAGGAGGAGGAGGAGGAGGAGGAGGAGGAGGAGGAGGAGGAGGAGGAGAGGAGGAGGAGGAGCGAGGAGGAGCGAGGAGGAACGAGGAGGAGCGAGGAGGAGCGAGGAGGAGCGAGGAGGAGCGAAGAGGAGCTAAGAGGAGCGAGGAGGAGCGAGTAGGAGCGAGGAGGAGCGAGGAGGAGCGAAGAGGAGCGAGGAGGAGGAGGAGGAGGAGGAGGAGGAGGAGGAGGAGGAGGAGGAGGAGGAGGAGCGAGGAGGAGCGAGGAGGAGGAGGAGGAGGAGGAGGACCAGTGGAAACCCAAGAGCCATCAACGACGTTGGAATAAACCCTCTCTCCAAGCTCCCTTTTCATAGGCCCCTACAACGGTTCATTTCCACTAAGGGAACTGCCCCGTTGGAAGACAACCGTGTGAAGACCCTGAAGCAGGCCAAAACATTGTTCTCGGGATTCCAAGGCCACGGATCAACCTGACTGTTGCGTCTTGACGATCTTGAGTCGTGCGGGAACACCATTCCTGGACTTCAATACCGCGAATCAGCGTAACTGTTGCATCCTCATAATCATGAATCCTTCCACAACGCCATTCTTGGTTTGCTGATCAGGGGAATCCGTGACACTTCTTTCAAATGTGAAAACGAATGTGCGCGGCGCTCAGGCGAGAGCCATATTTTGAAAAGGGATTGCCCTCAATCCGTGAAAACTCTTGCAATTGTTTAAAACTAATGCGCGCGGCGCTAAGGCGAGAGCCACATTTTGAAAACCACCCGCCCTCAATCCGTGAAACTCTTGCAAGTATTTTAACGAATGTGCGCGGCGTTCAGGCGAGAACCACATGTTAAAAATCACCCGCCCTCAATCCGTGAAGCTCTTGCCAATGTTTAAAAATCGATTGTGCGCGGCGCTCAGGCGAGAGCCACATGTTGAAAACCACCCGTCCTCCATCTGTGCAACGGTTGTCAATGTTGAAGATAACTGGTGAGGAAGTCTAAATCGAAACGCCCGGCCCGCCCTAAAAACTGGCCTCGGCGTGCGACAGGGAGAAGTTATGTAGAAGGAGAAGGAATGGAGAAGGAATGGAGAAGGAATGGAGAAGGAATGGAGGAGGAGGAGGAGGAGGAGGAGGAGGAGGAGGAGGAGGAGGAGGAGGAGGAGGAGGAGGAGGAGGAGGAGGGAGGAGTAGTAGCGAGGAGTAGCGAGGAGTAGCAGTAGCAGCAGGAGAAGGAGCAGCAGGAGAAGGAGGAGCAGGAGCAGGAGCAGGAGGAGCGAGGAGGAGGAGGAGGAGGAGGAGGAGGAGGAGGAGGAGGAGGAGGAAAGGAGGAGAAGGCGGAGGAGGAGCAGGAGCAGGAGGAGGAGGAGGAGGAGGAGGAGGAGGAGGAGCAGGAGCAGGAGCAGGAGGACGGGCCTGGCATAATTAGTTAGTTCTGTGCTCCGCCCTCGCCCCTGGCAGGGCCACGGCGGCGCCCTCGCGGCAGGCGCCCACGCACGCGCGCCTCTCCGACGTGTCGCGCTGCTTCCGCAGCTTCCGCCGGCGCAGCGCCCCCCCGGGCCTGCCCCGGCCGGGCGCGGCCCCGGCGCACCCGCCCGGGCCGCCGCGCTGGGCCGAGCTGGAGAGGTCTACCATATGCACGCAGCGCCCAGACCCCCTCGCTCCAGCCCGGAGATCGAGCGCATTGAGAAAATCAGGACGGAGGTGTTTCGCAGGTCTCGGCCTCGAGGGGCCCTCGCCGGGCCCCGGGGCCGTCAAAAAACGATTCAGGATGAAAAGCTGGTCCTGGGGAATCGGTCGAGATTGCCGGAGGCCCCGTATTGAAAGAATTACGACATCGGATCTATGGGAATCCAGACCCCCTCGCTATAGGCCTCCCAGATGGGCTCCGAGCAGATGGGGTCGGAGGATCGCACCGCAGCGCCGATGCATCGGCGATGCGGCTCGATGTGGAGCCCGCTCTTCCTCCCGCCGACGTCGCCGGTGCATCGCCGACGTTGCCTGTGCAAGGCCGACGCATCGCCGATGCATCGGTGATGTGGTGCAATCCTCCGATCCCATCTACGCGGACCCCATCTAGGAGGCCTCTACACGTGCTGTGAAGAAACACCACGGGAGGTTTTTCGCTATTTTCGGCCTCCAGGGGCCCTTCCCGGGCCTCGGGACCGTCAAAAAAAATATTCAGGACGAAAAACCCGTCCCGGGGAAGGAGTCCAGACCTCAGGGGGTCGACAATGTGAAAAAATCACGATATCGGGGATCTGGGAAGAGTGACCCTTCGCTGGAGTGACCTTTGGTGCGGGCTCACTGGGGTCCCCTGAGATCCTGGCGTCGCAATTTTTTCACAATGGGCGTTCGCGCTCGATTTCGGGTTCCATGGCCCTCACAGATCAATCCGGCTCGAAACATGACGCAGAAAGGTGGGGTCCCGGGGTTCGGGCGTGATTTTTTGCGATGTTGCAGTTTTTTGGCAACGTCGGATCTCAGGGTGACCCTTCGCCGGAGTGACCTTTGGTGCGAGCTTACCGGGGTTCCCCCGATCGCCGGACGCGATGCGATAATCAGTGGCTGCTTGCGCTTTGGAATTTATAGCTTGTCAAGCGTATCCACATGAGTGCAAGATACAAGACATAGTGCGTACCCGCCTCCCCCCCGCCTCCGCCTAAGTCGGTGACGAAAGTTTAAACAGTTGATTGCGCACCTACCATTGGTCTAGGACTGAGCATGCACACTCTGAGGGCAACCCTGGTCCTGTCCGTCTCCAGCGTTTCGGCGTGTGGTTGGCTATCCTCATCAGGACCTGCCACAACCAACCGCACGGGGCAGGCCGACGCTGTCACGAACGGCACCTCTGTTTCCGGCTGCGTGAAACATCTGCAGTATGTGCGACACCCAAACCGCCAGAAGATGTTTTTTGGGCCTTCAAAGAACGGAGGAAACAACTGAATTGGCCACCTCGCGCCCCCGTGCAGCCCGCGAGCTGAAAAGGTCACTCTTGCCTATAGGGCCGCTCGTGCGTGTAGCCGAAGAGGGCGCTCGGCGGGCTGCGGCGGCCAGGCAGCGGGGCCTGCTAGAGCAGGCGCGGCCACTCGGGCCCCGCCCAAGCCTCCTCCCTCCTGCTCCTCCTGCTCCTCCTCCTCCTCTTCCTCCTCCGCCTCCTCCTCCTCCTCCCTCCTCGCTCCTCGCTCCTCGTTCCTCGCTCATCCTCCTCGTCCTCCTCCTCCCTCCTCCCTCCTCCCTCCTTCTCCCTCCTTCATTCCTTGTCCTTATAGATACCTCTTCCCTCTCGCATCCCGAGGCGAGTCGAAAGGTATTGCCGGGCGTTTCGCCTGAGACTTCTTCACCAGGTAGGACTCTGGTGCTTAAAACCTGCAAACAGCTTCACGGATGGAGCTTCACAGATCGAGGGCGTATCGTTTTCAATATGTGGCTTTCTCCTTAGCATCGTGCACTTTCGTCTTAAACAGTTG